GTTAGTACCGCTTGTTTCCGTCAGATTGAATTTCTTTTCATCCGAAAAGACGACCCGAGTAGGAATTATTCAGCTCTATGGTGAGATTTCGATGCAGATCTACCTTTGCCCAATCTCTCCCTAGGTTCATCTTTGCAAATCCGAGTCGAGCCTCTTTGTGACGATCGGTGATCCGTGGCACCTTCTCCATTGCTTACCTGGTGATGTTCTCGCATCTTCTCACTGCTCTCCAGACTGTAGTTTTCGACACAGAGAGGTTTACAACCTCTCCCCAGGTTCATCTTTGCAAATCCGAGTCGAGCCTGTTTGTGACGATCGGTGATCCGTGGCACCTTCTCCATTGCTTGCCTGGTGATGTTCTCGCGTCTTCTCACTGCTCTCCAGACTGTAGTTTTCGACACAGAGAGGTTTAACTCCGATCGGATCTGGTTCAAGGAGGACGCACTGTTGGAAACAGTCCTCAGAATTTTCCGCTCGTCACGGGTAGTAATCTTTCATGGGTGTCCACAGTCGGTGTTATATCTAACGACATGAGGACTCTCTAGAAATCTCCGAATGGACCAAGGAGATCTCTCTATTTGCCTGGAAATGGCTCGAGTACGGAGCCCACCTTCATGATGAGCCTTCTCATCAGAGGAAAGCAGATGACCACGAGCCATGTTGACAGTCAGGTTTAGAAATGCCTTTGCTACACATGCTTACCTTTACAAGTATCTTCAAACACGAAATTTCCTCTCTTTCGTTAATAATTGTTCACTTTCTCAGGGTGACCTTATAATTATGAAACGGTGCAAAAACCGATAAACTGTTCTAAAAAAGTTCAGAAGAATGCAGCAGCGGCTAAGCGACAGATACCTAGGTTATTCGTGCTGGGGAATCTGTTCATGATGCTAGAAAAAATCCTCAATGATTACTTTTTTCGAAAGTGTAAAAATTGAGGGTGACCTTATAATTATGAAACGCACTGTATTTTTTGAAAGGATGGATGTGTAGTGGCAAGTGGCGCACTATCACACACCCATGGTCACGGATTCGAATCCCGCAGACATAGCCGCCTAGGCCAACCTAGCCTTACACCCCGAAGAGGTCGTTTAATTGGTACCATGTTGGTCTGGGAGGGTAAAGGCACTGACTTGAACATCAGTTGGCCACCTCAAGTCATTGATAGGCTACATACGATTCAATTCGCCACTACGATTTTGAATTGATGTCGAATGTAGGGTGCATCCCTTAGACGGAATTAAGCAACATCCCACGACGTTATCCTTTCTACTTCTGGCACAGGCTGGATTGGGTGTCCTCAACAGCCTATTCTTGAAGAACGTTTGATAGTTACCGGAAAGTCGCCCGTGTAAATAAATACATGCAGTTGAGCGGAAAGGTCTGTGGACCCAGAGGGAAACTATGAATCCTCAAATTGGGCTCAATCGCCAATAAAAGGCCCACGATTGCGTTCTATTAGGAGTGTAGGAGAATATCTACTGTGGTCACACGGTAATCGCCGAGTTGTGTCGATCGCCGCGCAGCGACAGACGACGACAAGGGAGCGTGCTGTGGGGGAGACGCAGCGTGGTGCGTTGCGGCGGGTCAGTGCCGATAATTGCGGACCACTCGGCCTGCGGTGCCGCCCCTCAGTGTCTGCTTTCGCAGTTCACATTTCGGAATCCCTCCGAAATTTGAGGTTTGTTTTTCATCCCCATGTTTCGTCTTCTTCCAACTTTAGTACGGAGTATGGCTATTTTCGTGAAATTAAAGTAATAAAATCCGAAGAAGCCACTGGCTCTAATTATCTGATACTTTTTTCGTCTCCGTTATAGACTATTCACGCTTCACAATGTTCATTCTTAATCTGTGACATCCTTTCAATTAGAAGGCTCATTTACATAAGTTTCAGTGAAAAAGGATCTTTTTGCTGTGGCCGACATATCCGTTTGCTTCCTTTTTCTTTCCTTGTGGCATTTATTGTCCTTTCACTTCAGCAAGCAATTGTCATCATTCTTCACATCCCAGAATCGATTCAACACAATCCCAGCCACTGGTGCTCATTGTTTTCGTCTTCCTTTATTTCTTATCAAGCAAATATGCATGAAGATCAGTAGCCGTTCACTGGCAGGTGTCTCATTCTTTTGGCTTTGAGTGTCAGTGCGAATTTCATCAATCACCAGTTTACAAACGTCGATCATTCCCTTAGGTTTGCATGCTTCATTTATTTTTCCGTCTGCAAGACTTTTCATCGACGATCGTTGACTGGTTCGCCTTTTCTTCAGCTGTTCATCTTTTTCGTTTTTCTTTTGCCGTTCGATTAATATGAATTAGGTTTTTGTGTTTTGTTGGTGCCTTCACGGAATTTCGTTTTATTGGCGTTCGTCTTTCAACTGAGTCTAGGTTATATCGATCGGTTTTCCTTGGCGACGCTTTCTACCTGTCGATGAGTAAGGCACGCTTCTGCATATCTTTTTGCTTTCACTTTTCCTAACTCTTAACGTTCCCTCACCCAAGTGACAAACAAGTATGTGAGACCACTTCTCACTTGGTCGCTAACTTATTTCGACATTTTCACTAAATTAGTAAAAACTTATCAGTACCGACTGCACCATCTTTCAAGCCAATTCACCAATGTTCATCTTCGGCTGATGGCAGTTTGTTGACGATCGGAATTTTTTCTTTAGTATAGAGTTTCCGATCTAATAAAAACATCGTATATGAGGCATTCCGCACCCATCAGCATCAATAGGCACCCATTTCAGATAGGATCGGGTTTTCTCTCGGCTTTCCCTCTGTTCATGAAATGCTCGCCTTCCACCACACGAGCTTCTCACATTTGTCGATTCACTGCGACATGGTGGAACCTTTTTTCCGAATTTTCCGGGTTCTCGTCTTTCATGGATAGATGGAGCTATCCGGCTGCTGGCCGGCTGGCTGGCTGTCTGTCAGCGGTGGTGATGTTGGGGCTCCGAATCGATAGACGCCGGTTTCGCAATGGCCGCATGCTTGTTATATCCGTGCACTCGTCGTCGCAGAGCCGTTATCCCTATCCGTTTCACACTCTGCAAAGGGTCCAATTGTTAAGCTTCTCCCGCATCAGCCGGTCTTTTGCCTTCAGTGAAATTTGCTCATCACAGAACTCTGCGCTGTCGATTTTGGGCGGACTCGGTTAGTCTCTGTCTCGCTTTCATGTGAACGAAGTTCAGTCAAGCGGTGCCAAATTCTTATTTTAAACCCATCGTTGCTCATATTTTTTCACTCTCCACCTCCAACAGGTTGTTTCGTGGTAAGCAGTGAGTAAATTGTAGTAAGCAGTGATGGTCGCGGTGAGAATTTAGATCAGTATTTCTTCCTTTTCAGTCCTTTTGTGTTTACATATTACGTGTACCTAGCTAGCTATGTATTTGTACGTTAATTTCCTGTTTAATTTTTAGATTCTTCAATCACTTCGTGATGTGTTTCAGGGTAGGTAGACCGGGCACAGTAGCAAGATGGCCGAAGGACCAGCTGAGTGCGGCGTGCAGGTCGATATTTCTTTTTGGTACCAGTCATTTCCTTTAGCGCTCAAGAATTCACCGAAAATAATTGACCAATGAACTTGTGGTGCTCATGTTCGAATAAAAAGATTGTGAAGCTGTTTCCATCTATCTTCAGCGCTTTTCAAAGTATGAGAGGTGGAGAAGCGGAATAGTAGGATTTTATTAGTATAATTGATCACAAATTATTCTTTTGGATGAGAACGAGACTGGGGTGGTACTACAATGAATTAACTATAGTTTAAGGGCGAGTTTCCCGTTGGCATTAATGAACGAATGAAGGCTAGGGGCCGGGTGCAATGGGATTGCATTTGAATGAGTAATGTGGCTGGGAACTGGAGAAATCGTCTGTGAGACTGCATTGCGAAATCTAAGTTGGAAGGAAAAACCTGTACGGCTAGGGTGATCGTAAAGTTAGACAGACATGTAGTAGTGCATATTGTATAGTTCAAAGCTGACTATTTCTTGTTTTCGTTTTTGGGCTGTTATGATTTGACATTTGCTCCCATAGAGTGGTAACCACACTATAGCCTGAAAGGTTGAAGTTAGTACTGTTAGTGTCAGATCAAAACTCACATGCTGAGAGTTACCGGTGCTCTTTTTAGTCATTCCGTCTTACATTTTTTTTTTGTATTTGATTGTTTTCCAGGTCTTCTGCCGTATTCGACCACTAAATAAGACCGAAGAAAAAAATGGCGATCGATTTCTGCCCAAATTTCCGTCCGAAGACACGATTTCCATCGGGGTGAGTTTGCGTTTGCAATGTCGTACATGAGTGCTTAGCCATCCTTCGGCGATTTTCACTCGATCGGTGACGCCTCTGTCCTCTCCCTTGCTTAGCCGCTGTCACAATAACTAAAGAGCGCGCTCCGTCGTCACCTATTCGGTGCAGGTTGCGATCATTATTGATCTAGCGGTGTTCTCGGGGGTTTCAGACCCTTGAACAGGTGTGTCAATGTGTGCATTGTGTTCGACGCACCCTACTAACAGCCATGTATTTCTATCAATGACAAAATGAAAGAATATATGATGAACAACAAAGAGGGGTCAAATGGGAATAAATTGTCTCTGTTGTGTTGAAATCCAAAGGGACTTCGTCAGTCAGACTGATGGCGAGCTAGAAACAAGTTTTTCTTACGTTCTTTGACGAGGTTAATGTATGACTGTTTCCATAGCTCGAGTCGAGTAACAGGGCGCGTCATAGTGGTCGCCAGTAACGTCATCTGGTTGATTGACATCTCCTGCAGGAAAGAAAACGCTGTCCGACCTTTATCGGCCTTGAACTCAAACTCTAGGTCGTCATTTATGAGCCTCCGTACATACAACTGGGACTGTATCTAACCCAGATCATACAGCAAATTGTCGAAATACAGCGGCTGTGATGACCGTAGAGAATGGGTGAAATTTCAAGCAATGGAATCGTTGATTCCGTCAATGAGATATACTCAATTTCTTGCCAAATACTTATGTTATTCTTTTTTGGAGCTTTTCAAAATTCAATTTAAAGTTTAAAAAAGTTGTTTGTGGCTTGTAACTATTAGAGCCTCGGTGTATTGTGTTAGCAAAATCATGTGGTGTTGCTGATATTATTGGCTTTCAGATGGTTATGGTAATATTTCCATGTCAGGCTTGGTCAAGCTAAATAGGGATTTATCGAAGAGAGCCTGGTCCGCATAGCTTTTGGAAGACTGATTAGAATGCTTCGACTCGCATGATTTTGAGAAAAAACTTCGTCGGCAGTCTATACTACCATACTTCTGGGAGAACAGGCCTTAATAGGCCTGTGGTTCATTGGCTAAACATATCCTGTTCAATAAGCCTTTATAATGAACTAATGCCGTTTTATGGCAGTAAACCCAATGATTGTCATCGGAACCTAATTGAATGCGGGAGTGCTTCATCTTTCTGTCTGGCATCTATTCCCTGCTGCCGGGAAACAGATTGGCAAGAAAAATGAAGGGATTCAATGGCTGGCAACTGCAGTGGTTGCGGCTTTGCTGGCATGAAAGACAGAGGCCGATAGTATCGCATTAGGATGAGTGTCGCTGCGTGATACCAACATTAGATTGGTTGGTTCCGGTGGTCGATCAAGGTACGATCTCGGGAAAGAAGTATTCGTCCGGTTCATTAGTTGGGTTGCTCGTGTCAGCTTATTAGTGCTCGTTCAGACTTCTGTTGCTACTTTGGGCTTGGCAAGGCACTATATCTCCTTTGTAGGTTTCATTTATTTATCTTTGCGTCACGCCAGGTGCATCATCGTCAGGCAGCAGAACAATATTAAGCAATTAGTGAAGCTTGTGGTAGATGGTAAAAAATGTTGGAACTCGACCAGCGAAAAATCTGATGGGGTGGCAGCTCATTCCGGAGATCTTATCCATCTGGGCGTTTCGGCATAGATACAGACGATTAATCTCAATAGCATTCGCCGATCGATGGTCTACGGGGAAACAGCGCAGCTTCGAGGGAACAGTGGATTGAGGTCGGGACTTGCAGATTCTGAGTAGTAGAAATTAGGTAGGGGGAAGCATGACGTAAGTCAGAATTTTGTTTACTTATTGGATTGAATAGAAAGTGTAGACCTTCTTGTGCTCCACTGTGGGTTTTTCATTGAAGTTCGTGAATTAATAGCGGTTATCATCTCGAAAAGCAATCTTAATCAATAAATTATTCTTTATCTCTGCCGATCACATTTCCCTATTTCGCCGAAAGTTTGCGATTTGATTACAGTGGTTCTTGATTTTGAGGTGATGATACTGCTGTCTACTTTCCTAGTGTTATCAGAAAATGGGAAGGGTGTGTGCCACAGGTTGGGTTCTAACCATAAAAACAAGTTGCATACAGTAGTTGACCTCTGTACTGAGCGTACTACACATGGAATCGCTCTTTTAAGGAGGTCATCTCACGAAGTCATCCTCGTTTGAGCTCCTCCCAGTGGCGAAAATAATGAGGGGCATAGGTGAAGTGTGTTTGATGTTACTAAAATTAGTGTATATCAATGGATGAAGACAGTATAGACCACGACTTTACTAAAGACTGAATCGTACTACAATTATTAGAAGCCAGACTGCGACACTTCCATGCGATTGTTATCACGATGCGCTCAGAATCGTTGCCCAAGCGTACTCAAGCAACCGTCTGGCTGAATTGTGGTTTTAATAGCCTATTTTACAGACCAGAGTAAATACATTGCTGTGGTGGGATGGAAGTTGTTAGAATGTCATAACCTATCAACAGCTTTCTCTTATGGAGGAATGATGTGAAGAGAGATGGCCTAATCATGGCTAGCGACAGCGAGTGTATGATAGAGCCGGGTTTNTTTCTGAGCTCAGTGAATTCTTTGGGAGTCATTGTTACCGAGTATGATGCGGGTTAGCTGGATTTCTGTGAATTTGAAAGTGTTGTTTTTGAACGTTTTAAAAATTTGCTTTAGTTCTGCTGCGCTAATTGGGAAGTCGCCTCATTCAACTCCGTGCACATCACTGAATTAAAGTTGTGCATCAGTTGCAAAAACGGGTGACCATTGCGACATGCGGATCTCGGTGGTAAATAAGCTAGGCTTTGATTAAAATTCTCATACGGTTGAAGCACAACGCCTCTCACCATGAAACTCAGTGGTCGCTGGGTTTTTTGAAAGCCAATTTGTTCGTAGATTTCAATCGTCACTGTTTTAATAGTGTGAAAGAGGTATGAGGTAGGGAGTTTCTTCTCTATCGAAAAGCATCAAGCAAGAATGAGAGCTCGAGGTTGGAAACATCGCAAACTTTAAAGTAGTTCCTTTTTTCAGGGAAAAGTATTCGTGTACGACAAAGTCTTCAAACCGAATACAACCCAGGAGCAAGTTTATATGGGTGCAGCCTATCACATTGTCCAAGATGTTCTGTCGGGTTACAATGGAACAGTATTCGCCTACGGTCAGACGTCTTCTGGTAAAACTCACACAATGGAGGTATGCTGATACAACTCATCACAGTTTCGCTTTTTTTTCTACAGAAGCTCACACCCGGTGCTTTTGTTTTAGGGTGTGATTGGTGATCAAGTAATGCAGGGTATCATCCCACGGATAGTACAGGATATTTTCAATCACATCTACACTATGGACACTGAACTAGAATTTCACATTAAAGTCTCTTACTTTGAAATTTATAATGAGAAGATTCGTGATTTGCTAGATCGTGAGTTTCCTCATTCATTTTGTTCCGGTTCATGAACAAGATGTCAAGGTTCATTGATTAATCAGCTTCCGCTTTCAGCTGAAAAGGTGAACCTTTCGATTCATGAAGACAAGAATCGTGTCCCCTATGTGAAAGGAGCCACTGAACGATTCGTAGGAAGTCCAGACGAAGTATTACAGACTATTGAGGACGGAAAAAGTAATCGAATGGTTGCCGTTACTAGTAAGTTGCGCTCGCCTCCGTTTTTGGTTATTTTGATTTTATTTACTTCTTTTTTTCATTGTGTCCTTTTCAGATATGAATGAGCACTCTTCTCGTTCTCACTCTGTTTTCTTGATAACTGTAAAACAGGAACATCAAGCAACAAAGAAACAGCTTGCTGGCAAGCTATATTTGGTAGATTTAGCAGGTTCTGAGAAGGTAAGCTGGTGACAATGGAATCTATAATGTGATATTTTCCAAGCGCGTTTGTTCAGGTCAGTAAAACTGGTGCTCAAGGGACTGTATTAGAAGAAGCGAAAAATATTAACAAATCTCTCACAGCACTTGGTATCGTCATTTCTGCATTAGCCGAAGGAACGGTGAGGTTTTTCGATATTCAAATCTTTATACGAAGGTGAATTTCGATTTCATCGTAGTCGACAATTTTCCACGGTACACTGCTCCTCTTTAGAAAAGACTTTTCTTTTTAGAAATCTCATGTACCCTATCGAGATTCGAAACTCACCCGAATTCTTCAAGAATCTCTTGGAGGAAACTCACGAACGACTGTCATCATTTGCGCGTCTCCTTCACATTTTAATGAGGCCGAAACCAAATCAACCCTTATGTTTGGTCAGCGGTGAGTGATGAAAATGGATTCGAATCGTTTCTTTTTTGTTGAGTCTTTCAAATACGGAACTTTCTCAACTCAAGCTTCCGCCTCTTTGATCAACTTCTTTCAGAGCAAAGACGATTAAGAATGTTGTCCAAATCAATGAGGAGCTCACTGCTGAAGAATGGAAACGACGCTATGAGAAAGAAAGGGATAAGGTGAGCTTCTAGTTAAGGATTGTTTCAGGAATTTTTTATCGTGCTTTCAGGTCACTCGTCTGTCTACTGTTCTTCAAGCTCTCAACCTGGAGATGACACGATGGCGAGGTGGCGAACGAGTTAGTGAGGCTGAGTGGATCAACCTCAATGATACTGCTGGACTTTTGGCTGTATCCGACAGTGAATACGCTTACTTCCATTAAAACTTTGCTTGTTTGTTCGGATCAAATGCTCTTTACTGCGAAACGTCTTTTAGCACCTACAGATTCCACAACTCCGTCAATGGAAAGATCCATGATAGCCCCTGCACCACCGATGCTCACCTCGGTCACCGGTCCTATCACCGATGAGGAAAAGAAAAAGTTTGTGTGTCATTACCGCCTCTCAGACTCGTTATGGTGGAGTTTTTCATTCAGGTACGAAGAGGAGCGAGTGAAATTATACCAACAGCTCGATGAGAAGGACGACGAGATTCAACGTGTCAGTCAAGAGCATGAGAAGCTGAAGGCTCAGGTAGTAAACATACTTTGATACTCTTATGACGATTCTCTTATGGCGTGGCCTTTCAACGGTGAACCATGCTCCAGAAATATCTCAGTAAAGCATCAATAATCCAAAGTTCCCTGTCGTTTGCATGCTCCACCTCTAAAATGGACAATTTTATCGGCAACTGTAAATTCAATAAGGAATAGCATCCCGAAAACAACACATTTTTTGTTTCTCACTACGAGTTTGGTCTCATGGATTTTTCTTTCCCTTTCATTTCAATTACTGTAGACCACATTTACCGTCTCCACTCCCACTCTTCACCCACACCAAATCGTCGTGCCGACTTTGTTCTGGTGTAGCATTAGCGAAGAAATTTGACCTGTTCTATTCTATTCATAACAATTTTCTGTTCAGGTCTTGTTGCAAGACGAATCGATTCAAGCAATGCGCGAGAATGAGGAGACGTTGCGTGAAGAGCTTGTTCGCATTCAGAAGGAAAGCGATGACAAACAGAATGAGACCAAAGAAGTAGGCGGCATATTTTGCCAATTTTTTTTCCTTTATAGTTTTCGTTTGTGTGGAGTAACAACCACTTGTTCAGATGATTTCTGCCATCGAAGACATCGCCGTCCAACTTGAGGTCCGAAACGCCGAATATGAGAAGTTGAAGAAGGAGCTTGAAATTGTCATGGTAATCGTGTTTTCGTGATTCTCTATGTGAAGTTGTTGCAACAGTTGAGATGTTGCGTATTTAGGAAGAAAACCAACAACTAGAGGACAGTTCAAGCCAAGCAACAAGCGCTCTCAATGCGCATCTAGACGAGTGTGGTCCGAAAATCAAGCACTTCAAGGATGCTATTTACAACATCATCCGCGAGTACGTGATTCTTAGGTAAATTACAGGTCAACCAGAATGATGTCCTTCCCGATCATGAACTGCTCAACCACATGCGAATCGGAGTCTCCAAGCTGTTCAGTGAGAACACAGCAGCGAAAGAGGTGAAGGAAGTTTTAGTTCAGCGGATTCTCAAGATTGATGACCACTTTCGACTTTGAAATTCATCGCTCTTTCTGAGGGGTTTCCCTGTGCATTCAACAATTTCACCTTACGTTACGATCAATCGCTTTTCATATTGCGCACTCTTAGCCGTCTCTTTACACCATCGTATCGGGTTGCGCCATATCCTCCCAATCGCCCCGTGCCTACTTTGAGAACATTCTTTACTATACCAGTCGACCTCAGAGTCTTGTCTTTGGAGACAGTGTATGCGATAATTGGAAAGAGCGCTTAGAGTACAGTGTAGATGGGTAGTAATGGGAAAGTCGATAGTAAGTGGACGGAGGGTAGGAATTCAAGGAGAAAGATGGGCCGCGAACTCATATTTTAGAAACCCCACAGTTCGCTCTTTTGCCAAAAAAACAGTTGCTTATTGATTTCGTGGCTCGCTTTTCCCTGCGGAATCGCAGGTTTGACGATAGTTTTTTTATACATCGATTGGTAGGAATTGCGAGGTCCCATGACCATGGGGTCTTTTTCTGGAGTTCCTAGTATCCTTCATAAAGACAAATGCGATTGTTACCTTACGAGTTTGTAGATGTTTTATCAATTAAGGGAGTTCTGACGTGGTCTTGATAGGATTTAACAGGGCTGACAGCCCTACCCACGTGGAATCAATGTTAACAGTCAGGAACGGGTAATATCGTTAAGCGATATGTGGTATCAGCTATCAGATACTTTTATCTCCAGTTTTTGCTGATGTACTATTTATACCTCACGTCTCCGACTTCATCCGGCTTATCTGGCTAACTTTTATCGCTCTTCAACACCTTGATCACCTCTGTGGCTATACGCTCGTTGAAGGGGGTAATCAAGATTAGGATCTTTCGTGCAACATTGGTTACGATTAATAGGGTTTTACGTCAAATAGGTATTTTCATATAAAATTTTGAGACAAGTATTATGAACTCACTCGAGTCATGATCGGCTTTTATTGAATCATGGGTAAGTAATTAATGCTTTTGTCACATCTGTTGCCGAATTCACACCTCAGGGTGGAATAACTACTTGCATCGTCCTAAATGCCCAAAATCGAGCGTCATGGTACCGGTCACCCGGAGTAATGTCCAACATATAGTCTTATAAAACAAAATGTCTTTGTAAGGGCCTGACTTGAATGATAAAGTAATAGATGTGCTGTTAAGATGAACTCAGCTGAAGCTCAAGCGGCTGAGAAAAAGCTCGAAGAAATGGACTCTGTGAAGGGCCAAGATGCAAATAAGTTGAAGCAGTTGCTGGTGAAAGATCAGGCAGCCAGAGAATTGAAACCGCTCACCGACAGAGTCAACACGGTTTGTGATTTCACCAGATTGTTTGTTCCTTGAATTAAAAGAGATAGTACAACTATACAGTTATTGTCTCTTACTCGTACTACGCTTCTCTCCAGTGCTTACTATCACTGTTTTAGGAACTCGCTACTTTGAAAAACTTGAAGAAGGAGTTTGTCCGATTGATTCTCTCGCGATGCCAGGCTGGCCTTGACGTAGAAGAGGATTGCCTTTCTGGCCCTGCTCAAAAACAGCGAATCCAATTCCTTGAGAACAATTTGGACAAACTCACCAAGGTGCACAAGCAGGTAAATTTAAGTTTGTGTAATGACTTTTTTGTCATCTATTGGGACGTGACTTTTAGATTCAAGAAATAACAGGAAAAAAATCACCTTGTAGTAGAAAGAAAAGAATTTCTCCTAGTGAGGAATCACCATGTAGAACATATCTCGAAGAAAATTCATCGGCGGTTTGTGTGTTCAACAAAAGCTGATTGATTTCTTGAATATTCTTCTAATGGTGTACTCTATGTTGTTATTTTGTTAAAGTCTTATTTCTAGCTTGTTCGCGATAATGCTGATCTTCGCGTGGAACTACCAAAGATGGAGGCGCGTCTGCGAGGAAGGGAGGACCGCATCAAGCAACTTGAGACGGCTCTACGTGAGACTAAAGAGAGATCACAGCTTGAGCGACGAAAGTATCAGCAAGAGGTAAAGGTGTTTTCCACACTTAATCGCTTTACCTGCCATTTTGTTCTTTTTAAGTCATTTTTCGTTCTTTTTTTCTTTTTTCGCGTGATAATTTCATTTGAAGGTGGAGCGCATCAAGGATGCAGTCAGACAGCGCAATCAACGCCGTCAGAATACTCCTCAAATCGTCAAGCCAATCCGCCCTGGACAGGTTTACTCGCCCTCGCCTGCAATGGTCGTCGGTACACCAAATCTCGCGCCACGACCAGCCAATGCTACTCAAATGAATGGTGAGACATCGCCAGATGTCGTTCTATAGGAATACGCGGTTGGTGCTTCTAGTGCCGACCATGAAGTTGATTCTAGTGTGATGGGTGTTAGCCTTAATCACAGCTTTTTCATTGAACAGTGTTTCAGATGGGAAAGGCTTCAGCAAAATAGCAATGTTATTATTTCGCAGATTGTAACTGATATATAGTATCTGTCCACTTGTAGAATACCAGGTAGCACTGCTTAAACAGCATTGTAACTATTTTAAATGCAATATCCCTCTGCCTGCCTTTTCTCCCTCACAATGAAGGGTTGTCTAATAGTAATTTACTGTCAACCGTTTGAAATGACTTTACTCTCCTTTGGTGTAACCTTGGAATATATGAGTGGCCTTTTTCCCCACGTTGCTCAAGTATCGAATAACCTTCATCATCAAGCACTAACAGCTCGTCACTTGTCCTGTCTATCCCTTTGTTCCCCGAACAGTGAGGAGTCCTTTCTGCGTATCTTAGCATGCTTGCTAAGTCTTCTTTGGTCATTTATATATTCTTCATCGTTATAGTTCGCTTTTATATGCACGAATAACTCCCGGCCATTCCCTTTCCCATTAAACCCTCAATGTGGTCACCCCTCATCCTCTTGCTTCCGATGGTAATTCCGCTCAATGCTAGTGAAAGGATGCGCTTGTCTTCTTTTCATGGTAGCCACGAGAGACAAAAGGCGTCACATAATATGGGCAATACTACGCATGCTGCCTTGCATACGCATTACCACTGTGAGTGGGATGGCACCGCTACTTCACATTTCAACAAGATGTAGTTTAGTGGCATTCGGCACCCGGTCCGTGCTTTTGGCGTTGGTTACGCAAGTTAACCTCGGACAACGCTATCGTACCGCAACCCAGTTGTGCGCATTCATCCAGTTCCTAACACAGTTTACTCATCACACGTCACTTTGTGATGGGTAAACAGTTTTAGGAATTAGAAAACGCTTAATATTCCACTTCGTTTTTTTACCATAAGCTGAGCTGCTCGGAGATCATCTGCTGATGCGCCGTCACCATTGAGTCGCTCAGTGTTTTTTCTAAGCCAATTACTGACGCAGAGGCTTTGTCGTCCCAAGTTGAAAAGCGAGTCCAGGCAGGAGACGAGAGAGCTTACGGTTGCGCGCAACTTTCAAAACGGTTTAGGCTTTCTGTGAACGTTTGTAACACATCCGTGGTAATGATGGGTTGGGAATTCTTTGTGAAGCGAAGCATTGTTATAAAACACGGACATTTGAATTGATAACTCCATTTGAGGTTGAATATTCTCTAGTTGGAAGTTGAATTACTCTTCCACAGGCCCCACTCCCCACACCTACTCGCATTGTTCTCTTCATCCATGTGACAGTCAACGAATTTTTGTTTTTCTGGGGTATAGTAATGGATTTTACAAATTCCTTTTGTGAGCTCTTCGAAATGGAGGCTTCTACATTTTTGAAATTACTCTAGACACACGCCCAGCAATTGACGCCTTCTAGTTCGTCACTCACATTTTCTAGTGTGTCACTCCCCACCTATTCACTCCCCCCCCTAATAATTCTCGAACAGTTGATTCTGTCCACATA